CGGCTATGGAATTGGACGGTCTAGCCTTCTCGATCTACTCCCGCCCTTAATTCAGAGTATTTCCGGTTGTCAGCGCCACGGCACGAAAATCGAAAATGGACCTGAAATCTTTCTCCGTTTTTTGTATTCATTTTTAATTATCAACGAGCTAACCCACATTCTCGCCTGAAAATATGTTTAAAGTTTATTTTGTGACCCAGAAAGATTAGTAAGAGTAATTTTAAAACTTAGTAGCGGCCGCCATTGCCGGAAACTGGAGCTTGGCTGGGCCGCGCTATGAATTCTGGGATATGGTGTGCCAAGAAGGACACACCCGACCCATCCTTCAAATTCGGGGAAAAGGAGGACGCATTTGTCGGCTGCATTCGGAGGAGTCTACGAATTTGGACAGCCTTCGGCGCGTCGCTGGGACGTAATCGGTCTACAAATGCGGCCTCAGGAGGAAGCAGCCCATGAATTTGGACATGACCAATGTGTGAATGACATACGGTGTATGAAATGCAAAGCCAGTCCTATTACAGCTGTAGCAGCACATACACTGCATCATCGTGCAGGACGACATGTCCACCACAAGGGAGCCACACAAAATGATCATTTCAACTAAAACGGAAGTATTTTACTCTCACTTTGCAACTAATTTATTTAAGATGTCACAGACCTTTGACCAGCAGCGTGTGTGTGTGTCTGTGCATGTGCATGTAGGAGAAAGAGGGAAGGGAACTCACCGGTTGAGGAAGTCACTGCTAGAGTGCCAGCTGGATCCCTGTGATAAATAAAGATTTTTAAGTTAACGCATGTGCTCTCAAAGCCTCAGTCTGAATGTTGAGACGCTCTATGTTGATTAATATTCCTGTGATTGTGATTGTGAAGATTTGTGTGCTGCTTTCTTGCAGGGCACTGAATTATGCACGGATTAAGGTAAGCTTTGCAGAAAAACAAACGGAGAACAGAAAACAAGCCGTTGTGATTTTAGAGTTAATAAAAAGAATGCAATTATATAACAAAAGGCAGATTTTTATTTTTGTTTTGTGACATGCACAAACTAGAAATACTTCAGCACATCGTTCCCTTGTAACCATTTGTGATGTGTAGGCATAAAATGTTAGTGGTTAGCAAACTTATGCAGTGGGATAAACAGAGCGCAGGTAGTACTTAGGCAGACCGCAGCGTCTCAGAAAGTGCAAATTAGTGAGGACCGCAGGCGACTACAGCTCAGCAAGCTCGGGCAGAGCAAGATTTTAGGAGGAAGAAGTGAAAGAGAGATAAGAAGACAGGCTCCTCTCAGTCAGTAAATGCATGCATGGTGAAAACATGGGCAAAGGGAGAGGTCAGAGAGGCGGGCGTTCCTCGTGGCTGTCAGAGCTTCACCTTCACGACGAAAGCTGATGATCAGTCCCAGTAAGGTAATCCTAACCTGCCGTTTTAATGCTTAAAAGGCAACATATGTGCCAGAAAAGAGATGCCCCAGTGGGAAAACCTGCTTTGACCATATGGCTCCCCAGCTGGAATCAAAAGTTCAAAGAGGGAAGTGGTTACATAACCATCGCCATCTGACACCAACAAAAGGTAACTTCACGTTAGCTATCCTGTTGCACTGAGGCCAGGTTCACCTCAAAGGTCAAAGCAGGTTAGAAAGACAGCTGGCTCTACAGTTTGGTCCTGGCATGGAAATTAATATATATATATATATATATTTACAACCAAACGTGCCATTTAAAGTGTATAACCTGAGGCTGAATGGAGCTCAGCAGGGTTGCAGGAGAAGATGCATATTACAGTGAGACGTTTAGCAGCCGCTCCACACGCACCAGTAAAATAAAGACAATACAAAAATTGACTGAAATGAACTGCAGTTTTTAATAAATCGCTATTCAAATCTTACAAAAAGGCAGATAAAGCAACAACAGACACTCATTCCCTGTAGCTTCTTAAATAATGCCGTCATTCTGTCAGTGTTCAAAAACACTGGCAATAAAAGACCAGTTTACTGTCAACCAGCTGTACGTAGAGGCCCTTTAGATGGGTGCTTGCAGAGTGAGCTGAAACACAGGTTATAAAGGTTTACTGAGTTGAGTGCATAGCCTTAAATCATGCACAAATGTTTGCTAGTGACAAGATAAAACACCTTTAACAACCAATGCAGCATTTTTCCACTAAAGTGACAGTAAAAATCGTATGCATAGCTTTACAAGAGGCAACCATTGGCAGAAGTTAATGTAAGCAATCACAAAAATGAATGTTTAAAAAAAAGCAACATGAAAAGAAAAACAGCCTCGCTAACAGACATGTGCTGCTCGTCTAACTTATTCTTTTTTAATAACTTATTTATGCAAATGAAAAGCAAATAGACAGAGAACCGAACTGGTCGAGAGCTTCAGTGTATTAAATAAGCGACGTGAAGAACATCTTAGCCGAAACATTACATGATATGTACAGAGATGTCCGTGTACAGCAAACGAGGCCAAAAAAAGCCTAAATCTGAACACAACTGTGTCCTCTTGATGCTGAGGCTTGTGTCAGAGATGAGGGTTGTGTTAAAGGAGCGATGACGTAATGTAGTGAGTACTACAAAAGCAGGTTTGGTTGAGGAGTAGCAGTTGTAGTTGGGAGTAGTAGTAACACCAGGGAGGTATGGGAGAGAGGAGTGTGAGAAAGCCCGAGGACGTTAAATGTCAAAGGCACTGAGGAAGACAAGACAGGAACAGGAAGCCCCGGACAGGAAGCGCATCATCAGTGAGTCAATAGCTTAAGCCGCGTGATCCAACTGACCAGTAGTGAGCGTTCTGCCGTCGTGCGCTTGGAGACGGGAGCTACCGGAGCCTTTTTCGTGTCTTCCTGGTAGGGGATGGTGGCACTGTTGTGGAGGTCTGAGTTGGAGTAGTAGCGGCTGCCCCGGATGTGGTCCACTCGGATGAGATGCCGTTCCCCTGCAGGCCTGTAGGGTGGAGACACCGAGGGGACCTCCTCGGCAATGGTGGGGATCCTCTCGTTGCTCAGGTATCTGTACAGGAGGTCCTCACCTACAGCAAAGACAATGACAGGTTATTCTAAAGTCTCTAAAAATGCTTTGCAAATCTTTTTTAAATATTTGACTTGTTTTCTTATTGAAATTAACTAAGCAGCAACTTAATGGGCTGAAAAAATAATGTGTGATAAAGTGTAGTTCCACTAGTGGCCACTTGAGGCTGTCTCCAAATGTAAATGATAAGTTGTACACACCTTTCCTTCCCTGCGCCCAGGGCTTCGCGTAAGGATCAACCACTGACAGACAGGTGTCTGCAGGCATGGACAGCGGCCGGGGCTTACCTTGAGACAAAAGTTTCATGCTTGTTAATTGTTCTGAAAGCACATTTTCTGAGTTTCCGTCAGAAGAATATTTATAAACCACTGCGATGAGAAAGTACTGACCACGCGAGGGTTTATGCTCCCTCATTCTGGGCTGCACCACCTTGGCTTCGATGGGACAGCCGGCGCTTTGCTTGTCAAACTCGGTGCAGTGTCCTCTCCTCTCCTTGTCCAGGAAGGAGTTGGGTGACTCGGAGCCCTTTGGTCTTTTACTGATGCTGGAGAAGGCGTCTGTTCTCGCCTCTCTGGACAGAGGAACAAATGTTCATTAACTTATCTCCACAGCAACAGGAGGTGGAGGATAAAACAGTCGTAGTGTACGGACGGGTGGGAGCTGAGTGGGCTGAAGACCAGCAGAAGAGAAAGTGATCACGAGCCGGGACCACACTCATTATTCATCAGCTTTAAAGCTCTGAGTTAGGCTGTAGCAAAGGTTGACTGGGGGTGTCTGAATCCCTCACAGCGGGGGGAGCAGGTGGCCTCCAGCCTTCTTGTTTTAGTACTTTACTACTTCTAGAGCTGAAGCTGCCAGTAAATTAATAATCGGTACACATGAAACAGGATGGCTTACCGCGGCGTGTACGGCATTAGAGGAGGAGGCGGGATGTACAAGTCCAGGATAGCCGGCTTCTCCTTTTTGGTTGATCCGTTAGCTGAACTGGAAGGAGACTGGGTTCTAACGAGGGACGAATTATTCTGAAAGAATACAGCACAAGTATGAGAGCCTGATCTAATCTGGAGAAGAAAGTCATTCCACCTTCTCTGACTGCATGTACAGATCAGTTTGTGTCTAAAAACAAATGACGTCACTACAGTTTCTGCTTACATTTTTTTCTCAGCCTTAAATTAAGACTTAATCTGACTTCTTGGCTAACGGGAGGAGTTCCCCACATGTGGCGAGACATTTAAGTTCCTGTATGTCGGGCCTTCTTGTTTGAGGTACGGAAAGATTCTGAGTGTAGTCCAAAATAGCCTGAGACACTTACCACAGTTATGTCTCCCCAACATCGTCCTTGAGTGTTACTCTGCTGTTCTCATCAGGGCAAAATTACACATCTGCTGATGCAGCATTGTAAATGTGATATATGGCAAACGAAACATCCGACTGGGGATCTCGTCAAACACTGCTCTCTGCGCTTCTCCAAATAGCTCAAATAGTACAAATTATATACTATTACAAAACCAGTGTCATTCATTCTCCAGTCACACCGTATGATTTGTCTGTTTGGCTCTTCGGAACCTTGCTATCACAAATAAACGGAGACGCCTGGCTCTGATGGGCCTGGCTCTGATGGGCCTGGCTCCGTGTTAAAAGAAGATGCTGGTGGATGTGTAGACATTGGTCACCTTTGTGCACAGATTTGAGAAACCCCCTCCTAACTGATATAATCTCCTCCCGTCTTCTCCGGCTATAAAAGAGGCTGCGCACAGGATGACGCGGTGCCAGAGCTTCAGTCTTGTAGTCTACGTTTATGACAGGCTTGCAGCCTCCCCCTCTGTCAGCGGGGACTCACCTAATTTAGCGTAATGTGTTCATTTGATTATGAATCAGCTCACACATTCCCTCACAGGCTCGATATTTATCCCATTTCCCTTTAAGCTTTCTTTAACACAAACAAATGATTGTGCGTCTGTTGTTTGCTTTAAACCGTGACGTTGGGCCGTCTAATAAACTAACCATTCTGAAACACTAAAGCTCGGAAGCTTGAATAACATCCTGGGACTTTGTTTGCGTCTTTTGTTGTGCAAGAACAGCTGAATGCTGCATTCAGTCGAGCCAGCAGCACTCTTTCAGGGTGGCCCTGTCTGGACTTGCTGCTTTGGAACCAACTCCCTAAAAAGCTGGTAATTGTTTGACGATGATTAGACGAGACGACGATGAAAGGAAGCGTGCATGCATGTGTGCATGTACCTGAGGTACTGGGGGCTTCCAGCGCATGTTCTTCAGTGGGGCGGGGGTGAAACCTGTTGTGCCCGTGGGCCTCTTCTTCAGGAGTAGAACCACACCTTTAGGGTCCTCCCTCAGTTTAAAAACCAGGTTTTTCAGCTGCCAGCCCACCTGGTTAACAGGAAGCGAACGCACATGACGCTCGTGCGTTTGATTAAAGATTTACAGCATGTCTTTAACCTCCCACTCAATCTGGGATTCTTACCACAGTCTGATGGTTAACCTGGATCACCTCGTCCCCAGCGTGGATCTTCCTCGTCAGGTCTGCAGGCGACTAAACATAAAACATAAACAGCTTTTATTGAACACAGCATTCTCAAAATGCTGTGGAAACTGGGCGGCACTCTGGTACCGCTCGTGCCTGATTTCTGCACCAGATGAACACTCAGAGATCAGAATCGTGAGAAAAAGCCTCTCAGCGTGTGACTGTCAGCAGAATAATATCACGAAGATGCCAAACGAGATAAACTGGTCATTATAAGCGATGATTCAGGTCGTGATTCAGGAGTGGGGACTGGAGGCGTGAGGATCCGACGGTGGCTGTGATGCACGTGTGTGAGTCACTGACTGTCTAAGTGTGGTGAAAAGGTAAAACTAGTTTGTGTGGAGCGCAGAAAGAAACTATCCCCTTTGCACATGAGCAGCTCTGAACTCCCTCACATGATGTTACTCAGGGGGAGGATGAAGAGGAGGAGGAGGATGAAACTTACAAAAGCTTATTTAAGAGTACTGGCAGCAAACGAATGAATTTCAGCACTGAAACTGGCTAAAATCGTCCTGTCCTACTTACATGTTCTGTGGTTCCAGTGATGACATGCAACCCATCATAAGTCGACTTGATGTACATTCCCTGGGTTTAAAAAGAAAAGAAAAATGGTGGATAACAGCGTATTACCAGTTCACACATCGAATACATTCCCAGACAGACAACCCAAGAAGCC